CTAAGAACTGTATAGCGCCTCTATGCCAAAATCCGGGAACTAATCTGCTGCTCTTTTTAACCTTATTATCGTCTATATTGCTCGCATCCTTTGCATAATTGTAATTCGCGACGCATTTTAAAATTACATCTCTGAACTCAATTTGAAAGGTTTCCTGTTAATCTTTGATATACTCTTTTTCGGCCAGCACACTCGTTTTGCATGTACAAACTGTATAATTTTTATAAAAAATAAATATTTATATGCATCGACAGCTTGTCGGTAAAATTTCCAAATTTTTTTCTTTTTTTCGTTTTAAAACTAGTGCTTGCCGATGTATTAGAGTGTGTACTTTAACCACATAAAAGGATTTGTAATTCTATTTAAGCAATAAAAAATGCCGTGTTAATTACAAAATTGAAACTTGATCGGTAAGAAAGTGTAAATTCAGCATCCTCTTAAACATAATCTAATTTTTGTTATATGTAACAAAATTAATAATAGATTAATAAATAATTTCTCATCACTCTACTTTCCTTTTTTATCAAAGAGCTTATATATTATATATTATATATATATTATATAGATAGAGTAGGGGAGCTAGCTAAAAATGAGTGAGCCGATAGAAAGAGACAGAAAACGAGAGGCCCATCAGCATCCTTGTTCAATCGCGCATGTGCTGTTGATTTTTAGAGTTAAGTGGGGAGATGAAGATTTCAGGAGAACGATATAAATAGAGAAGAAGAGGAAATTGTTTATATTAATAATAACAATATTTTCTATATAAAATGTTTTTATTTATATAACATAACGCTTATAAATTAGTTAATATATGTATTATTTATTATTGACAACTGAAAATCGTTAGCTTATTATTACGCATTCTGATTCTTTTAGAATCATCTTTGGAACATTTACTTTCATGTGTCAAGCAAATATCGATATATTTTTGTATAATAAGAAGAATCATTGATGTCGATGATCATACAAAGGCTCTTGATCTAAAATGTGATTATTATTATCTAAAATTGTATTAAGGAGTATTTTTAGTGTTTCTGTTACAAGCTTGTAATTTATATCTTTAGTTAATAATAAATAAATATGTTGACGTATTATTTTCTCAGCACTCATATAGATGAAAATTACATTTTTACAGGGGAAATGCAAACCACCGCGATTTTTTAAAATTGTCAATTTAGATTTGACACTATCACTTCCTTCTAACATGTCTCTACAAATTTCGCAAATTATTTTTTTCTTTAATGAATATACTATTGAATCAGCTGTATGCTTCACGATTTCTTCAAGATAATCAGAAACATACCAGCCTGCATTTCCGCAATAATTGTGATCAAATATACTATGATTACTTTCCAAAAAATCATAAACTGAAAAATTACTATTTTGTTTTTGTTGTGAGACTCTTTCTTTTTTTTTATTATGAGTTTCTTTATTATTTTTTGAAATAATTTTATTTTGATTATTCTTTATTGTTTTTTTTTATTTCGACAATGTTTGTTACGTCTGAAATTTTTAATGTATTGTCTTGCGGGGTACAATTCGCTGAAGCAGGCATTAAACATTCATATTATTAGCCAATAATTTGGTGTAAGCAGATTGATATTGTATTGTTGTTGGATCATTATTATAACCATTTATTCTTCTTATTAATGCAAAAAACATTTCAACATGGTCTTGAGATAATTTATAAGTTAAGACAAATTGAACAATATTATTTTCTATCAAATCTATACAAAGACTATATACGTTTTTTAAACAAATAATAAATCCAAGAAATCCCGTTTTAACAGATTCGCTTTCAAGGACTGATTTACGAACAATATTTTTTATTACTTGGTCATAAACTATAGAATTTTCTTTTTCTATTGTTATGTTTTTTTTTTTTTTATAATCATGACAGGCACATCTATTTCTAATTTTTTAATATACTTAATATATTCTTCAATTTTTGTTTTTAATTCAGGTAAAACATCTTTGGTAATACTTTTTCGTCCTGGCGTCTTACAAAATTTGTTTTTCACATTTAATAGATCGAAAATATCATTAAATGTTTTACAAAATTTCGCTGTAGACGAAGCTTTTTCAAATTTTTCATCTTTAACTTCAAATTCAAGAAAACGTAATGCAATTGATACGCTTGAACCCAATACTTGTGTCGCCAGTGACACTTTCATTTTCTCATTATGAAAATAAATATGCCTATCTCGTATCTTGCATGCACAGTGCAAGCCTTCACTAATTTGTTTGTTGTGTAATTTTTTAATATACGTCCAATTAATAATTTCTTTTTTATCATATATTATAGGTCCTTTTAACGCAAAATAATTTCTTACTAACTTGAGTGCATGACACGGATCGAAAAACACGTAGACAGGTCTTAAAGTATTTGGGTGTTCAAAATAGGGCTTAAAATTGCTCTTATCTCTGTAATTAAAATTAGCGTCTAATACTTCACATGCTTTTGCATGTGCTTTATCACCATCAAAAGTAATACTAACTACTTCAATATCATTTTGGCTAAGTTTTATCAATAGATCTTTTAAAAGTACTGCCTTTTCTTTGCCTGTTAAAGAGTTAATTAAATAATGTGCAATGGGTGTTTTAAACGACCCATTAATGCTGACTAACATAAAAATCAATGCTTTAGTAGCTATCTTAAGTTCATTGTTATTGTTAACTTCATCCAACTGTCCACCTAAATCGACAACACCTTTCCATTTGTGAGCTTTTTTATCCCAATGTTTTCATTTATGAATGTTTATTTCATTAAACGTAAGGTTGAAAATAAGTTTCTTACCTTTCTGAAATTCTTGCTTTACCATGTTTGACACGTGTCTTATTAGTTCATCAGAAATACCTGGTTTATAATTTTTTGAAGACAACCAATGATTGAGTGTTTCAACGCAAGGCAAACATTTGAGATAGCTGCGTCTCACAAATTCGTAAGCAGCTGGAGAGTGAAAATGTAAGGTTCTAGCAAAATGTTTTAACTGAGCAGGAAAGGAAGCTGTAACTTTATTTTCTTTCATACGAAATATCAACTCTTGTAAGTGTTGAGGTAATTCCTAATAAAAAATATAATAATTAAAACAATTTTAAATATTTTAAGCTAATCGCAATCGTTTTATAATGTATAAAAAAAATTATTTAAATGTAAATACAATTTAATTATTATAGTAAAAAAATTACATGAATTTGTTCATAATAAATTGATTACAATTTATACTATATATACATAATTACGAATAAACCTGTAAATATTCAACAGCTTCAAAAAATTATTTCTCCTTCATAGTTTTAATCATTTCTTTCATATAATTAATTTTTTTCTGTTCTAATCATCTTCACATGGGAAGCAGATTTCTTAGATTGTTCATAAGTCATAACTCTTACAAACCGCTCCCATGCTTTATTTGAAGTGAAGTCCTCTCTTGAAAAAGACTCTGACTGATTTCCGACCATGAAACGAAATTTTTTTGTTGGGGAAATGTTGACAGCAGATGATTTTCTAAACATACATTAATACATACAATTAATAGTACAATTATTTTATAAGATATTAAGCTATTTTGCAATATAAAAATTATTTTAAATAAAAGTTCTAATGTACCTTTTAATACTGTTTCTGGAACTTAAATGATTATGTATCTTAAAGCCACTAGTATCTGTTTTTGTTGAAAATGATGTATTTTCAGCACTTGTCATATCTTAATGATTAATTACATCGCCAAGTACTTGAGTAGGTACATTGTTGATTTGTAAAGATAATTGATTGTCGTTTTGATCAAAAAGAACAGCAGTTGATGTTAACCGTCTCAAAGTTGTATATCCATCAGTTTGTTGAAACGAATCATTATGGAAGTGATCACTACACAGTCTGGCTGAACTTGAAATTGTTGTCACATCAATAACTTCCATCCATTTCTTTTTTAACTCAACAGTATCAGGAAATTTGTAATTCGGAATTAAAGATAAAATAATACTTTGCATTTTCACATGACGCGAATTGCGTTCCGTTACATTTTTTCTTGAATTTTAGGTTAAGTGATATTTTGGTTATATCATAACTACTTAGAATAATAATAAATTTATTAATAATATTTGATTACTGATACTACATTATATCGTAAACATTTTTCTCATACTTACTTGTGAAAACTTCGAGATCTATCGAAGGGAGTGGGTTGTTTTTTACATACAACACACGCTTTCGTCATAATTTGTTATAATTTTATAAATGTTGCGTAAGCCACGTTGAAAATAATAATGAAATAAGACAGAAATTTATCGTGCAAAGACATCTCTGTCTTCTGTAAGAACGAGCAAAATGATAATATTTCTCTATCACAGATCACAGCGTTTACTAAAGAAACTTCTCCTCAAAACTCAAAACAACGCGTCTCTCCACTCAGCTTTTGAAGTTCGATGCGCGCGCAACATTAGACAAAGATAAAGATGGCCCTCCCATATTTTTTCTCTTTCTATTGTCTAACGTTCCTATTCTTTGTTCTTAGCTGACTTTTCTACTCTATCTATATAAGCTTTTTGATTTTTATATTTGTTGTTGCACCGACTTACGACTATATTGTAGAATGACAAGTCGTATTCAGATCCGATGTTCAACGTACGACAAACGACAAACGACATCCGACGCCGACATACGACGTATTGTAGAACAGGCCTAAGGGTGCAGTCCCATTAAGCAAGGATCGGAATGAGGATGCCGTCACAGGCTTAGTTTACATCGATTGTTAGTACGCGTACCAAATACTAAATCTG